TGGGGACGCCGCCCCTTCCGTTGTTTTGGAATATATGTTCGTGTTCCGTCAGTGTTGTTCTTAGTTGTGTGTTTGGATCGCTTGCCGGTTGACTGAACATCTCCCGTTTCTGTGCATTCATCGTCGTTTGTGTGTTCGTTAACATTCGCCCATTTACGTCCCGGTTCAGCTCCACGCGGTTTCCCGTCGACTGTGCGATTTTGACCCATTACAGACTGTTGATCCATATCAGCTTTGCTTGCCTTTTGGAGTACCACACCGTTTGTCGAAAACCGTTAAGGTTTGTAAATTTGTATTCCGTGTAACTACTTTCATTTTTATGGTACAGCACATTTGCGTAGCCATTCGTTCGGCGTTTTGCCGGTTTGGTTGCTAACCTTGGTGCTCGTTGCTCAAGAATTCGAAACGGTGGTTACAGTACTCAACGTTGACAAGCGTGGTTCTCTGGATGCCAATCACCAGGTCAATGGCGGTCAATTCAAAACGAGAAGAAGAATTTGAGAAGAAAGTCAGCCAAGTCGGACACGGTTCGTTTTCAGCGATGAGCTCTAGGACTAGTATAGCTTCTAAGATTACTTTGGAGAATTCGGGGTCCAAAGCTGCTTTATTGGTAGCGCAGCTTAAAGAGAGACAACTTAAATAAGAACTCGAGCTTGAATCAGAGGCAATGAAAACGAACCATAAAACACAACTCCTAGAGGCTAAAGCCGAGGTAGAGTTGGCTGAGCACGAAGCTTCGTTGGCTTGAAGCGAAGACGGATTAGAGCAGTGCAACCGGTCAGGATTTTTAGAGTCCTCAAGAAGTCGCATCAGAAGCTATGTTGAAGATTACAGAAAGATGGCAACGCTATTGAACTCTGAAAATCGACATAGTCTCAGAGTAGGAGAACGACAGCATAATGGATTAGGTGACATCCGTCATCTGGAATCCATTATAGAGGGCCTGGAGTTACCTGAAATCGGCCTCACGCAGTTTGATGGTCAAGTCAGGAGCTATTGGAGGTTTACGCGTCAATTCGAGCTTTACGTCGAAAGCTAGATCCAAGAAGAGGGAAAGGGGCTAGTACAATTGGTAAACGCGTGCTCCGGTGTAGCCGGGGAGGCTATCGAAGAATGCATCATGTCTCAGCCTGCGAAAGGATATGAACAAACCCGCCGCATTCTGCAGGAGTCTTTCGGAAGGTCTCATGTGGTTGCTAGAGCCCTGATAGATGATCTCATTAAATGTTTTCGTTTTACCTCATGTAAGGCAAGAGATCTGACTCAGTTGGCCTTCAAGATGCAGAGTTGCAAAATAGCTCTGACTCAGATGAACTACAGTGAAGAACTGAGTTCCCTGGAGAAGTTGGATAGGTTGGTGAGGTGCTTGCCCAATACTTTACAACACAAGTGGGCGGAATTCGTTTACCATACCACTCATGATCGGGGAGAGCAAACCTTCGCCGACCTCACACAGTTCCTTACTCAAAGGGCGAGAGTGCTAAGCAGTCGTTACGGCCTTCTGGCAGAATCCGTTACGCAGAAGGACCAAGGTGTACGTGGCCAAGCTGTTACAGATGTAGGCAAGAGCAGAACCGCTTGGAGTCATGCGATCGTTTGCTCAGATCAGGCCCCACTGTTGAGCGAGATCAGTTGTAAGGTTTGTGGTGGTGAACACCGTATCAGCAACTGTGAGCGCTTTCTGTCCTTCGAGCCAGTGGAAAGATGGTCCACCTTAAGGTCTCTCAATGCCTGTTTTCGGTGTCTTGAAGGCGGCCACAAAGCGAAGGACTGCCAACTGCAATATCGATGTGGGGCGGATGGATGCCGAGCCAAACACCACGCTCTGCTACATTCGAAACCACTAGATAAAAAAGCAGAGTTAGTTCCTGTAGTCAAAAGCAATGCAGTGACTGACCGCAAGACGGCTGTTTCCCTAGGACTACTTCCAGTTCGTCCGAGAGGCCCTTCAGCAGAAGTGATCACGTATGCCTTCTTAGACAGTGGGTCCGATACCACTATCTTATTTCATAACTTGCTGCACCAACTCGGGATAGAGAATCATCGAACGCCGCGTGAAATACAGACAATCAGTGGATCTTGTTTAGCAGTTGGAGAATCTGGAAGTTTTGAGGTGTGTCCGCTCCACAGTAATGGGGTTGTCTTGGTGAAAGGTGCTTCAATAGTATCTGAAATGCTCCCATCATTAGTCGTGGATTCGCGCTCGGGAATGACAAGTGGCTGGGCTCACCTGGAAGAATTGCCCTTTGAGGATATTCCTTCTAAATCGGTTGGCATATTGATTGGCTGTGACGTTCCAGAAGCTCACTGGGTGCTAGATCAGCGTTTGGGAGGTCAAAAAGAGCCATTTGCCGTGAAGACACCGCTGGGTTGGGTTATTCTTGGGCCACTGGGTCCAGGTAACCGTGTGGGAGTCGCCGCCAGCTGGGAAGGTCTGGCGTCATGCCGTTTGTAGGTCACCTACAAGTGAAAGAATTGACCAAATCTCGGGTGGTCGTTACCCGTCAGGTTCAAGCGGAAGCATACAGTGATGAGTTAACTCGTTTAAAAGCGGACACTCAATCGGAGCCAACTAGGGTCTCAGCCCTGCGCAAGCTGTGTCCCATCCTTCTGGACGGTGTTCTCTGCGTTGGTGGACGGCTCCACTATTCCAGTTATGCATTATTCCTGAAGCACCCGCCTATCTTACCCAATAAGCACCCGGTAACTAATCTACTCTTTCGGCACTATCATGAGGCAGCAGGGCATTCCGGCGCCTCTAATGTACTTGGCGTTATGGGCCTTCATGGGAGTCAGGCGGTGAAGTGCGTCCTCCATAAGTGTATTCAATGCAGAAAGCGATCAAGGAACATATGTCAGCAGATGATGGCTCTGTTACCCCCGGTGCGATCTGAAAAGTGTAAAAAATATTTCGAAGCTGTGAGTGCTGATTACTTTGGACCATTTCTGGTGAAGCGTGGTCGCAGCATGAAAAAGAGATCCGGCTGCATCTTTTCATGCATGGCTACCCGAGCGACTCACCTCGAAGTGGCGCATTCTTTGACTACCGATTCCTTTGTTTTGGCGTTCATGAGGTTCGTTGGTCAAAGAGGGAGACCTTTGGATATGTACAGCGATAACGGATCCAAATTCGTTGGTGCCGTTAAGGAACTCAGGGAGCACGTATCGCTTTGGGACCAAGGGAAAATCAACAATCAACTATTTGCTCGAGGTATTCAGTGGCATGCTAGCCATCGAGGAGGAGTGTGGGAGCGAATGATACGATCATTACGGCAAATTACTTGTGTGCTCATCCAAGAGCAAACTCTATCTGATGATCGTCTGACAATCTTTTTTGTTGAGGTGTAACGTATTCTAAACGATCGGCCTTTGACATCTTTGAGTGCATATTGCCGTGACGCATTGGTTCTGACTCCGAATCACCTCTTGCTACACGAGGCGAACGCATCACGGTTTGAAAGAGCGGCTCACTCGACGTTGGAAACAAGTGAATTATTTGTCGGAAGTTTTCTGGAATGGGTGGATGAAAGAATAAATTCCAACGCTTCAGTTAAGCCATAAATGGTTAAGTCGGAACACAAACCTCAGGGAGGGTGACGTCGTTATGGTAGTGTCCGAACATCTCTCTAGAGGAAGGTGGCCGCTGGGTAGTATCACCAAATGTCAAACGGATGCAGACGGCCTCGTCAGAACGGTTTCCCGCCGCGCTAGCTCCGGTGTCATCGAGCGCGATGTTAGGAGCCTAAGTTTGCTGAAAGGGGAGGACTAACGAGGGGGTACGCAGGTTTAGGGATGCTTCTCAACAGACGTATTAGAACAGCCGGTTTTTAGTTCAGCGTGATATCGTGGTTAGGCGCGTTTACCGTTAGAACCGGCCTTTGTGGCAGGAGTGGACTTGGACCATTCAGGTCGGTGGCTAACTCTCCATGCTTGTAGGCTAGAGCTCTCCTGATAACTTACCTGTTCGCTGACTGACCGTCCGAGGACTTTCGGTCGGCGGTGTTGCAACTTCATATATATTTAAAATTACCTCCAATCTTGAATGACTGCCTTCACGGTTAACAATTCAAATGGACCGCCCCTTTTTTGGACTGGTGGAATTGAACTCTATTTCAGTTTTACAAGATATCTATATTTTCCGTTTTCCTTACCGCGTAAATCGTTTTTACCGCGTTGATTATACTAATTTTGTACCAGAACCTTGGCAGCTATATATTGTTTTAATTCATGAGTTTGAGACGCGGTTTCGGTCACGCGTTGGCTGTTGATCCATACCGGCTTTGCTTGCCTTTTGGAGTACCTCACCGTTTGTCGAAAACCGTTAAGGTTTGTAACTTTGTATTCCGTATAACTACTTTCATTTTTATGGTACAGCACATTTGCATAGCCATTCGTTCGGCGTCTTGCCGGTTTGGTTGCTAACCTTGGTGCTCGTTGCTCAAGAATTCGAAACGGTCGTTACATTGTCTGCTCCTTCTTTTGACAAATCCATAAATTCTTCCAATATCACCGTCAAGGTTTCAGTATACTGTTAGAGATAAGGCATTCGGGTGACAGGCGTGACGCCTGCTGAATATCATAAAATTAGCTGTGACGATTCTTTGGATTTGTCTGGCGGAACGCCTGCTACAGCGGTGGAAGACTCTTTCCTCAACAGTTCGGGAATGGCTACTCCATTATGAGAATGAGCGGATGCATTGTTCATATAATATTGAGATTACTCCCGAGTCCACTGCAGAAAAAACGTGAAGAAACGGAAGTTTCTTTTAAAACCTTACCATGGTTTTCAGGAAGATATCATTCCAAACCAGTGTTGGTTATCCGCACAGTGCTCTCAGATGCAAAACATCTAGAAGTGGAGTGAAGTTTTCTGTGCCAAAATGTTGCATTTTGTTGCATATGGGCTCGAAGCAAAAACCGTCTCAATCAGCTTTCATATTATTGCAGCTCACTAAATTTCACTGTTCACTGAAGCAATCGTTTTCCTGACTCAAAAGTCTTGTGGGATAATCTTCCAGCATTGCTGGAGCCCCAGGATGCCTTAATGGGGCTCAAAGGTATAGGCTGGTACTCTCAACGCAACTGCCCGATTATTTTGTCTATCAGAGACACGTCACAATGTACGAGAGTTTCACTCCATTGTGCGAATACTGAGGGTCCCCTGAACCGCCGCGCCTTCGAGGCACAATGCATTTTTCTGCATAAACCCCTGTGGGTGCTCAGTCCCAAAATTACACTCACCTGCCTTTTTTTGCCGATTTGTTTTAATCGATTTCTTTTGAGAATTATCGGCGTACATTCGGCCTTGAACTTCATGTGCTATGGCTTCAGAAGCGGCTACAAAA